AAGTGTGTTCTGTGATGGAGTTCCATCCAGTACCATTGGGATGAGTTGGAGTGATCCACAACTGAACATCCAACATCAGTACCAAACCTTACTAATGCTCAATCAAATCCTGACAGCAACATCTAGTGTAAAGCCTTCCCAGAAGAGTAGAGACTGTTACTGCAGGACAAACTCCCTATGAATACCTTTAATCACGTCTGAAAAGTACTTTGAGCTGCCACCAATATGAAAAGTGCAGTATAAATAAAATTTATTAAGGTAAAAATAAAATTATTATTATTATTTGATTTCAAAAGAAATGCTGGAGAAGCAGGTGTCTAGAAATTTTTGGACATAAAGAGTATTAATTTTGGAAAATTGTTTATAGAAAATCATGACAATATGAAACAAACTAATATAACGTCTTGTCATTGTTTCATGATGCCCACCTACTTGACTGTATTCAATATTTTGAAGCATTTCAAATAATTATCTTTAAGTGCACTCAGCAGCATTTTTCATTAGCTGAAGGTGGTCACTTATTTAATCCCCTAAACTACATCAAATATAGACTTGTTTGTGATGTTCACAGTTGTGTTCTTTTGTTTATATGTGTGGGTTTATACATATTAGTCCACAGAAACCAGCCGAAAATGTTACGGGCCAATGGGAATTCCTATGACCCTCCCAATTACCCACACCAGCAGTAGAAATTAAGTAGTTAGAGGTGAGACTTTTTTTTTTTTAAATTAGAACATTTCAAAAATTACTGAGATTCTTTTGTATTACAAATGCTGTGCATAAATCATTTGCTCAGAGGCCCTGTCTCTGTAAACAGTTTTGATAGAAAACTGCCATCACAGACTAACTGCATCATTTTATTGAACTCTAAGTTCAATAGTACTGTAAGTATACTATATGGAGGTGAATGTATAATAGATAATTACAAAGAATTATACAGCACAGCACTGCAGAAATCTTACAGTTACAAAAAGCACTTACAAAAAAGAACTGTAGGTGCAAACTATGGGGGACATCAGGTCATTTGGACAACACTTACAGCTCAGTGCTATCTGAGTGCTCAGATATTGTTTATCCCAGCACCTGACACACCTGAAATGACCCATTATAAGCATAGAATATTTGGTACATTGGTACAATATTTGGTATTACAGCAAAAATGTAGACCAGCTGGGGGCCCAGGGGACATATTTGAGAAACACTAGCTAGAAAGCTTGCTTTGCGCACACACACAGTTCCAATGTAAACTTTGAATACTCCAAATACACCGCCTTATTTTATAAAGTGGACACTCATTTGACAACACTACACTAAACACTAATCTATTTTATTGAAATCAGTCAGTCAAGTCAAGTCAGTCAAGTCACAAAGGAGATGGTTGTTGACTTTAGGAGAGCACAGAGTGACCACTCTCTGATCACCACCAACAACCCCCCTGTGGTGATTGTTGCGAGCACCAAGTTCCTTGGTGTTCACCTAGCAGAGAACCTCACCAGGACCCTGAACACCAGCTTCATAACCAAGAAAGCCCAGCAGTGTCTCTATTTCCTGGAGAAGCTAAAGAAAGCTCATCTCCCACCCACCATCCTTACCACCTTCATTTTAATCATTAATCATTAATCACAAATCATTTTAATCTCTAGTCTACATATGAATTAATATTAGATTTATATTAACTAATCAGTATACTGACTCAACACAAATTTTCAAAACAGAAATCATATCCCAATACTACAAGAAAGATGGAGTTTTTATTTTACTTTCATTTTCAGATTCAAATGGCTAAGGGTGTACCTTAAAGATCAATTCTGCAGCCTCTGCTCTTTACTGCATATATTATTAGTCTTTGTCAAAATGTGCCAAATGCAAATTTTCATCATTATGCTGATGATACTGTCATCTATAGTTCAGGACCTACTACTTTGTGTAACTTACAAGATACTTTTAATATTATACAACACAGATTTTATAGTCTTAAACTTGTATTAAAAGTTGACAAAGGAAATTCAAGGAAAATCTGCACGAACCTTCTGCCTGTCACCTCTTTAAAGGGAAATATGGTCAAAAATGCGTCTACTTTCAAATATCTTGGTTTACTATTAGATAGTTCTTTGACATTTAAGCCTCATGTCTTGCATTTAGTAAAGAAATCAAAGAAGAAAATGAAATTTTATTTTAGGAATAAGTCTTGTTTGTCCTTTGAAGCAAAAAAAATCTTGTTTTTGTTATTTTTTTTACCAGCAGTTGGTTATGGAGACATCAGCGCATGCACCTTTGTACTGCTTATGCACATTAAAAACTGCATCGTGGTGCTTTAAGATTTATTACTAATTGTTGGTTGATTGCTCACCGCTGTGGTCTTTATGGAAGAGCCCTTATTGACTATGGGTAGGCTCATTCATCGGCATATTTTAATTTATAGATCTGTTCTTGGCTCATTATGTTCTTGTCTATACTATTAAAATGATGGTTCTTCAAGGGCTCTTTAGAAAAGAAAAGGGTTCTACAGTGGTGTGAAAAAGTGTTTGCCCCTTCCTGATTTCTTATTCTTTTGCATGTTTGTCACACTTAAATGTTTCAGATCACCAAACAAATTCAAATAGTAGACAACGATAACACAAGTAAACACAAAATGCAGTTTATAAATGAAGGTCTTTATTATTAAGGGAAAAAGAAGTGGTTTATCACATCTTTGGAAAGCTGAGTTCAATTTCCCTAGCCACACCCGGGCCTGATTACTGCCACACCTGTTCACAATCAAGAAATCACTTAAATAGGACCTGCCTGACAAAGTGAAGTAGACCAAAATATCCTCAAAAGCTAGACATCATGCAGCGATCCAAAGAAATTCAGGAACAAATGAGAAACAAAGTAATTGAGATCTATCAGTCTGGATAAGGTTATAAAGCCATTTCTAAAGCTTTGGGACTCCAGCGAACCACAGTGAGAGCCATTATCCACAAATGGCGAAAACATGGAACAGCGGTGAACCTTCCCAGGAGTGGCCAGCCGACCAAAATTACCCTAAGAGCGCAGCGACGACTCATCCAAGAGGTCACAAAAGACCCCACAACAACATCCAAAGAACTGCAGGCCTCACTTGTCTCAGTTAAGGTCAGGGTTCATGACTCCACCATAAGAAAGAGACTGGGCAAAAATGGCCTGCATGGCAGAGTTCCAAGACAAAAACCACTGCTGAGCAAAAAGAACTTAAAGGCTCATCTCAGTTTTGCCAGAAAACATCTTGATGATCCCCAAGATTTTTGGGAGAATACTCAGTGGACTGACGAGACAAAAGTTGAACCTTTTGGAAGGTGTATGTCCCATTACATCTGGTGTAGAAGTAACACAGCATTTCAGAAAAGGAACATCATACCAACAGTAAAATATGGTGGTGGTAGTGTGATGGTCTGGGGCTGTTTTGCTGCTTCAGGACCTGGAAGACTTGCTGTGGTAAATGGAACCATGAATTCTGCTGTCTACCAAAATATCCTGAAGGAGAATGTCCGGCCATTGTCCAGCTGAAGCGCACCTGAGTTCTGCAGCAGGACAATGATCCAAAACACACCAGCAATTCCACCTCTGAATGGCTTAAGAAAAACAAAATTAAGACTTTGGAGTGGCCTAGTCAAAGTCCTGACCTGAATCCGATTGAGATGTTGTGGCATGACCTTAAAAAGGCGGTTCATGCTCGGAAACCCTCCAATGTGGCTGAATTACAACAGTTCTGCCAAGATGAGTGGCCAAAATTCCTCCACAGCGCTGTTAAAGACTCATTTCCAGTTATCGCAAATGCTTGATTGCAGTTGTTGCTGCTAAGGGTGGATCAAACCTGTATTTAGGTTAAGGGGGCAATCACTTTTTCACACAGGGCCCTGTAGGTTTGGATTTCTTTTTCCCTTAATAATAAAGACCTTCATTTAGAAACTGCATTTTGTGTTTACTTGTGTTATCGTTGTCTACTATTTGAATTTGTTTGGTGATCTGAAACATTTAAGTGTGACAAACATGCAAAAGAATAAGAAATCAGGAAGGGGGCAAACACTTTTTCACACCACTGTATATCGCACCCAAAAGCATTCTTGTCAAATTTATAACAACAGAAGAAGCCTCTTGGGTGCGAAATAGAACCCTTTTCAAAACGGTTTGATATAGAACCATCTACATCACATTTTCCATCAAACTGAAGGACCATGCAAATAACCACTTAATCATGCAAAGGTTTTTTTTTGAGTGTTCAGGGTTGTATATAGAACCATTTTCTTTAGAAATGGTTGAAGAACCACCTTTTTTTAAGAATGTATGTACCCTTATATATCTAAAAGAAACTAGGAATTAGTCTACACTCTCAAAATATGTATCTTCCTAAGATTTCCACCATATGTATTGAATTAGGAAAGTAAGCTTTCAGTTAGGCAGCACCCATTGAGTGGAATTTGTTACAGAAAGACATTAAATGGTTAAAAACATTTTTCAAACAGTGGAAATGGGTAAAACTGTTTTTTTTTTTTACTGTTTTAAATAATTTATTTGGGGGTGTTGATGGTTGATCTTTCTGTTTTATGTTTGTAGTGGATTGGTTGTCATTGTGAAATGGGCTTGATGCTGCCTGTCTTGGTCAGCACACTCCTGTAAATGAGATTTTAATCTCAGTGAGTCTTTTTTCCTGATTAAATAGAGGTAGTAAAAAATGTTACGACACTATAATGATGATAGATATACTGTAGTAAGGACAGCTTGATAAGTAGGATGAATTGTTAGAACACCTGCTCACCTGAGGTGTTGTAGGTAAAACCATCCACCTTGACACCTCCATTTTCAGCTCCTCCCCCAACTGCAACCAGCTATTCTCACTGACTACCAAGGCCAAGCACAGTTCACCTCGAAAAAGCCCAGCGTCCTGAATGAAGCTGTACTCATATTTCACATTTACACACAGTTTATCTCCCACACACACACACACACACAGCAGGAGGCTCCGGCGTCCAAGCAACGGGGAAATGGAGCTCTTTGCCGAAGGAGAGCATGTCTTCGCCGTGGAGAGCATCGAGAAGAAACGGATCCGGAAGGTTTGTGCTGCAGATTTGGCCTTTTATTTCTGGCAGGCGAGTAGATCTTTAAGTGCGTGTGTTTTTGTTAATGCATAAGAGTAGGGCTGCTTAGTGCTGCTGTTTCTGCTGCATACCTATAAAAAACATTAATCTGGCGTTTATCACTTTTTTCTCCGCAGGGAAGGCCCGAGTATCTGATCAAGTGGAGTGGCTGGTCACCCAAGTGAGTGTGTAACGAGCCTGTCTCTGACAGGGCTGAACTCTAACTTCACCCCGCACACGCTGCAGCTGCTGCGTCTGATGCACCTGTTCGTCATCGGTAACAGACCGCAGTATGGTTGGCTACCGCAGTAAAGTTGAATGGCGGTTAGCGATTCGGATTTGTATCGGCTTTAACTCCGGAATGCAGTAACGTTCATCTACAAACCCTGGTGCATTTTGTCAGTCTTGATTTGTGAATTCTGGTGACGTCATTTTCCACGACAAAATCCGCCAATATTACACATCAGGGGTTTATTTTCTACAGTGTGTAACTTCAATAGTTGAGCTTTCAGATGAATAAAACCAGGTTCAAACTGACCAGACTGATTTGTGAAAAATTTCACAGTTCTTATTTTGCCCGTCCGTGGCCGGTGTAGACTGCAAACAGGGAAAGTGAAATTAAGCGAAATAAAAACGGTTGTTTACTTTGGCAGGTGATTTTTTAATACAAATAACATCAAAATCTATGAAAATGTGTTTGATTAAGCAGAACTCGATTTGTGAAAAAAATCACAAATGGAGCTCGATATGTTTTAGTGCTCCATACAGCTCTGTCTCCTTAGGAATAAGACTATCTGACTATGGAGTTTAATTATACAAACATTATCAGTAACATTGCAAATTCACTTGTTGTACATATTACTTGATTTGTGAAAATATTCACGAACACAGTTTGGTGGTTTTATTTTTTTATACTGTTCCACTCTCATTTTCAGCTTTTGGGGGCAATAATAGAACATTAATACATGAAACTGTAATAACTGGTCAAGTACAAAGATAACAGCACACTCAAATTATTTTTTTCTGATTTGTGAAATATTTTACAAATATATTAATGTCAGTCCTTTATTAATTCGTTTAGGCAACAAAATGCTGAATATTTGGAGGGCTTGACTTTGAAACACCATGTACACTAAAAGTAGCAATGAAATTTCACTTGTAGCCGTTATCTGATTTGTGGAAGCTTTCACAAACATAGTTTTTTTTTTTTTTTTTTTGCAATTGTAATAATACAGTAATTCAGCTTTTGGGGGCAAATATAGAATATGAATGCATATAACTTCATGTACGGATCATGTAGAGAGATGAAAGTAGGTTAAAATACAGCCATTCTATTAGCAATGTTATTAACTTGTTTTAGGAGCTAGAACATTTGTGAAAACTTTCACTGTTTTATACTATGATGTGTACATTTTCTCCTGTAAAATATATTCCAGTTAGTTAGTCAAACACTTGCACAGCAGTACATATAACTTCAAAAAACTGATTATGCCAAATGATGAAAGCAGGCTTTAATGAGTGTTCCAGTTTGTAAAAACTTTCTGTTGTTATTTTATTTCTTCTTTTTCATTTAACACTTTCATTTATTTCAATGACTGTCATTATTTTTTATGCAACAAAAATACTTATATTTGAAAACATTTAAGTTTTCACAAATCAGAATATGGCTACAAAAAGTGAAATTTCATTTAGCTTTTGTTGCCTAAAAGTATTAATTAAGGACTGATACAGAAAGTTAATATGTGTGTGCTGTTATCTTCATACTTGATCAGTTATTAAAGTTGTATGCATTCATGCTCTATTTTTATACCAAAAAGCTGAATTATACTGTATTATTACACATAAAAATGGGAGTAGAACTACATAAATCACTCAAATATACTGTGTTTGTGATAATTTTCACAAATCAAGTGATAAGCAACATTGCATGGTAGTGCATATATATTAAATTGTGTTCCAAAGTTAAAACCACATATATTTCAGCTTTTTTGTGCAAAAGCTTTTTAATCAATGACTGACAAATAATTCTAGCCTGTTTTCATCTCTTACATGTATTACTTTGTCAATGTTTGGGTAAATGATAGAAATATCCCATTTTAGATGCATGGTAATGAAAATAGACTTGTATAAAACAATAAAATATCATAAAATCTGTTCGTGAATATTTTCACAAATCAAGTAATATGTACAACAAGTGAATTTGCAATGTTACTGATAATGTTTGTATAATTAAACTCCATAGTCAGATAGTCTTATTCCTAAGGAGACAGAGCTGTATGGAGCACTAAAACATATCGAGCTCCATTTGTGATTTTTTTCACAAATCGAGTTCTGCTTAATCAAACACATTTTCATAGATTTTGATGTTATTTGTATTAAAAAATCACCTGCCAAAGTAAACAACCGTTTTTATTTCGCTTAATTTCACTTTCCCTGTTTGCAGTCTACACCGGCCACGGACGGGCAAAATAAGAACTGTGAAATTTTTCACAAATCAGTCTGGTCAGTTTGAACCTGGTTTTATTCATCTGAAAGCTCAACTATTGAAGTTACACACTGTAGAAAATAAACCCCTGATGTGTAATATTGGCGGATTTTGTCGTGGAAAATGACGTCACCAGAATTCACAAATCAAGACTGACAAAATGCACCAGGGTTTGTAGATGAACGTTACTGCATTCCGGAGTTAAAGCCGATACAAATCCGAATCGCTAACCGCCATTCAACTTTACTGCGGTGACTTACCGTCGGCTGTATTTCCGTTATGCGGTAACAAACACCTGCAAATAATGTTGCGTTTTGTTAATGATGATTTGTGAATCCGATATTACACTTCCGTTTTTTATTTTTTTACACTGTAAAAATGGCCGTCAGAGCTACCTACAAAAAGTACTTCATGTGGTAACAAGCAATTGAACTAGTTTTATTCAACTCAAAAAAAATATATATTTTGATTGAAAGAATCAGAATCATTCATATGAAGTATTTATTTAGGTCGAATAAAACTAGCTGATTTGCTTGTTACCAAGTGAAGTAATTTTTTAGGTGGCTCTGACGAGCCATTTTTACAGTGTAAAGCTTGTAATTCCAGACGTTGACCACTCAGATGAATGCTGGATCAGCTTGACCACTGGAAAGCTGGAAAGCTTTCACCGCCCTGATTTTGTCTGTCCTTGGCCTGTGTAGACCGCATATAAGGACAGTGAAAGTGAGTGAAATAGTACAGTTTATTTTTACTTTGGCAAGTTATTTTCAATCAATAACTATTTTCAAATGTATGAAAATGTGTTCGATTAGCAGAGCTCGATTTTACAAAAGAAGTCAGGCTGATAAAACAGTCCTGTTTCTATCTTTCACTCATTCATGGGTAAGTTTCTGAACATAAATTAAGAAACAGATCTATTTGACGCTTTCATTTCATACACAGCAATTTTTACAGTGTTGAAACATATTGATTTTTCATTTTCCATACAATTTGAGTTAAAATTACACTCAAATTTTTAATACACTTAAAGTGGTGTAAAATACCAGCACTTCATAAAGTGTAACTTTAACTCAAATTGTTGTGGACCCACATAAACTGAGAAAAGGTTAGATTTAACACTCAGAGTGTAGCTGTAACACTGACAAATTTGCTGTGCACTTACACTCCCCTATAACACCAGACTCTTAGCAAAAACAACTCAAGAATGGAGTTTGTCAGCTCTTTGTTGATAATCTTTTGCACTAAAATCCTGAAAAATAGTAGGTTTTGATTCTGGAACAGTATTTTGGATATAAATACTGCCAGTAATCACATAAATACACTTCTGTGTTTTAGGCTTTACCTGATTCATGAAAACCCTTTTCCCATTACTATGTGGAAAATGGAGTATTTCAGTTTTTGGAGCAAACACTGATACAGCAATGTATTACTTTAATAAGTAACCTTGTACATTCACTTGTTTTAGGCATTATCCAATTTATGAAAACCTTCACAAATCAGATAATGCCTAAAATAATTGAATGTACATTGTTACTGGCGGTGCATTTATCTGAAATAGTGTTTCAAAGACAGACAATACTATCATTTTAGTGCAAAAGCTTATCAATGAAGGACTGACAAACAAGTTGAGACAAAATTCACAAATCAGGTGGTTTGATTTAAGCCTGCTTTCATCTCTCTACTTGTTCAATTATTGAAGTTAAATGCATTGCTATATGAATCTTTGGCCAAATAACTAAATACCCTATTTTTCCACATGGTAATGGGAATATGGTTGTATAACACACCCCAATACACAGAACTCTGTTTGTGTAAGTTTTCGTAAATCAGGTAAAGCCTAAAACAAGTGTATTTATGAGATTACTGGCAGAGTTTATATCTGAAATACTGTTCCAAAGTCAAAACCTACTGTTTTTCAGCATTTTAGTGCAAAAGCCTATCAATTAAGGACTGACAAACATAAATATAGTTGTGAAAAGTTTCGCATATTAGGTGAGTTTATTTGAGTCTGTTTTCATAGGTATTATTGTGCCAAAGTTTGCCCAACTAACCGAAATACCCTAGTGCTTCCTTATGATCGATTGGTTTAATTACGTGTCAGTTTGAATTCAACCGAACAGGTCGCTGATGTCTGACCCAACCTATCAAAAATAGGTTCTGTGGTCTGTGTGACAAAATAAAATGTGTGTATTGCTCGACTGCCGTTAGTAGCAGCAATTGGTGCTCGATACAAGCCTGTGTAAAGAGTCAAATGTTAAACAGGCCGATTACACAGACAGTGCAGAGCGAAAACACAGTGGGGAACGTGTCTTGATGTTGAATTCACATGTTTGGTGTGAATCATTGTAAAAAAATAAGTAAGAAAAAGAAAACCAGCAAAAACTGTGGGTCTCGGTTTGCTTCTAAATAAAGCCTGGTTCAGCTCGCTGCTGGTGGGAACGCATTTTTACAATGGTCCACACTTTTTAACTTAATGACTCTTTACAGACCATAATAATAACGGCGGAGCAATAGAATAAATAAAATAATAGAGAAGCAATGCCTTTAATTTTGGCACATGCATCGCAAAACGTGGAGCATAGCGACCTGATGTGTTAGGCTACATTCATACAAAAGCAGATTTCAAGTAAGGTTTATTATTGTTGCTTTGACTGTGATACACGCAAACCAGCACTCCCGTTTAATTTGGTCTACTGCAGTGTGAAACCAACCGATATGAAAACAAATACTTAAACTCTGGTTCAGACTTTAGCAAAAGAACTAAGTCAAATCTTCTCCGCACTGAATTCATCCTATAGCCAGATTATGGGTTAGTAACTGTTACCACCAATCGGCACCCTCCCGCAACGCACCGCGACAATCATAGGTACAGCACCCCCTTCAAAAAGTCATGGCGCCTCCCCTGCCTAAAACAAGAGGATTTGCAGGGTTGTTGGTAGTGTTTGTATATGAAATGAAAAAGTCTTACTTTATGTTCAGAAACTTACCCATGAATGAGTGACAGATGAAGCAGGACTGTTTTCATGAGTCTGGCTTGTCAAATCTTTTACAAATCGATCTCTTCCAAATCAAACACGTTTTCGTAGATTTTGGTGTCATCTGTATCGAAAATAATCTGCTAAAGTAAAAATAAACGCTTATATTTCACTTAATTTCACTTTCCTTGTTCACGATCTACACAGGACACGGACAGACAAAATCAGGACTGTGAAAGTTTTCACAGATCAGCCTGGTCAGTTTGAACCCGGCTTTATTCACCTGAGTGGTTTAACTTTTGAAGTTATAAGCTTTAGGAAATGATAATAAATGATAAATATAATGTTTGTGAAGAGTGACGTCATCTGAATTTACAAATCGGGACTAACAGAATGAAGCATTATTTTCAGGTGTTAAAAGATGTCTGAATCGCTAACCGCACACAGCGCCAATTAAAGCATGTAAAGCACAGACATGATTGCGAAATGCACACTCAGTTTTTTCTGCTTACTTTTCTGCACAGTATGTTGTGAAGTAAACGAGCAAAAATGATCACAATTACTTTTTCCTACTTCCCAGAAGACAGAGAACTACAACCAAATATATTTCAGAAGTGTCCTCTGGTAGATTTAGTTGAACATATGGCTCCTAACAGCAAAACACCGACACGTTACTGTTTAAGGGAGCGTCTAAGTGCACAACCTGTATACCAGAGACGGTTTAGGCTTTAACACATTAAAGCCTGTAGTAGTTGTTTAGAGTCATTGTTGGCTTACAACAGACGATATTTTACTTAAAAATCTATTACCATGGAAAGAATTATGAATTAAAAATGTTAAATAGTCACAAAAAATCAACAAAGTAACCAAGTAACAAAGTTTGACCTATGGAGATGGATGATTTACCACAGATGGAGTCATAGAGCATGTGTACAGTAACAAATTAAATTGGTAAAATTATTACTAGATGACTCCCCAATGATACATACTGTACCCTTCTGAAAAGATGTTTAGGTTTACCTCATTACAGGTCACTCATGAGTCTAATAATAAAGCAGCCAGACAGCAAGGTGTAAGCAAGGATGCAACATGGTCTCATTAGGGTCCTGGGCACATGTGTGATGGGAAAGATTAAATAAAATATTCCTGGTTAGTAATCAATAAACTAAACATTGGCTGAATAGAGACCCCTCCTAATAAGGTAATATAGGGAAGCAGACCATGGACCGTATGCTGTAGACTCTCTAATGGGGAAAGAGTTTCTGGGCCCACAGAAGGGAGCTGTACCAGATGACAGTTTAAGTTATAGCTGAGGTCCACTCTTGTACATATATAAAGGGTTGTGTGAGACGGCCCTATGGAGAGTTGCGTAAGAGGGCCCTGTAAGGAGGGAACAATCTGGTAAGAGTCAGAACAGAGTGGGTTTAAAAAAAAAAAAGACATCATATGCATTTCGTTTTAAAGGCTACCAAAAAAGGTGTAAGGACATGTTGGGGACCAAAATGGTAAGGAATTGTGTAACTGGGGTGGGGAGATTACCTCATCACCCCAGAGGGGAACAAAAAAGGAATGTTTTGAGATGTTCTTTGCATTGTGATTGACCGGGAACCATCTTGCCATTTGATGCTCAATAAACCTTTTCCTTCCTTCCACAAGAACTCAGCACCGCTGAAGTCTTTTTCATTCCTTTTTATCCTCTTTTCATTTTTGTTGATATTCTTTGATTCTTTTAATTCTTTTTGAAGATGTTAGATTACACACAGTTATTAGGGCAATAGTTTAGATAATATTAGAGTTACTTATAAATGTCTAGACCCTGGGCAAAAAGAGATAGCTCTTGATTGCGACACGTGTCTTTGGAGACCCTTCTACGCTCTTAAGATAATGCAAAATATATATATCTATATATACCTAAAAATAACTTTAATAAACAATTTGTTTGTTCATTTATGTGAGTTTTGAACAGCTGTAAAAATGTAGTTGTAACATTACAGGAGAAGGAAGAAAGGTTCTCTGTAACTAGCCAATGTAACACGTTTTTTTTCCACATCTATTCATTTGCTGAGTTTAACATATTTTAAACAAATTAAACATAAAATATTAAATATGCCATATTTATTATGCACGTTCTCCATCAATCTGAAGAACCTTTTAATGATACAAAGAACCCTTTAATCATGCAAAGGGTTCTTTGTGTGTTCATGGTTCTTTACTAAAGAACTCTTGAAGAACCATCTTTTTTAAGAGTGTAGTTAAATTCTGAAAAGCAGAAAGTGCTATTGTTCCTTTTTTTTCATAAGGTCCTGTGAAAAATATTGTTCCTTTCATTTTGTGTATCATTTTTACTGCTGAACAGGAAGCATGATATTGGTTAAAATCTTCAGTCAAGAGAGCACAAAAACAAATGTTTTGTACTGTGTTGATGCAGAAATGTATTTGAGTGCTTTAGTTTGTGGCCTTGATAATGAAAATGAACAACACCAGCACTGCGGTTTTGCTCAGCAGAGTTGTTTGTCACAGCGAGCTGTACTGAGTGCTGAGTGCTGAGTGATTAGACCATTACAGGAACTGCCCTGTGGGAGAATATGCGCCGTAAGTGTAACTGTTCACACAGAGCAGGTAGTACAACTCTGCTTACTGCTTTATTGATGATGACTGACCGTCTCACTTTCTTTAACTCGAAATACACGCTTAACACCATGGGCCAGTTGCCAGTGACGCAGGAAGCTGTTTTAAGTTTGGGGTGCTGAAATTCTGAGCAGCATGCATGTTACCTGAGCACTGATGTAATGCAAAACGATTCTCCTTTTTTTGACAAATTACATCAAGCAGAGTGAGTCAGGAGGTGAGATAATGTGGCGAGAGATGGCAACATACCCACATAACCGACACATCAGACCGTTGATGCACACCCTGACTTCTCTGCTCTCTCTCCTTCTGGACAAACTTTATGCAAATCAATTTTATGGTGTCCAATCAGATTGTTGATGTGTGGCGCGGTAATGGATTGTGTCTCACCCAAAGTCACACTTGAACACACTCCAGGTGTATAGCAGTTGTTAAAAAAGAAAATATTCAAAGTGCGGGGCATCATTACAATTTTTTTTGTTTGTTTGTCTAAAAAACGGTATTAGGCTGCTTTGGGGGGCTCAACAATGTCCCACAGCTCTGCACACACTTTGCACCTCAACCTGCGTGTGTTTTAACAATGCGTCCCCAGAGTGGCCAGCAGGTTTTTAATATGACATGGTGGCACTGGCCACCCCTTGGCTATGCCCCTGCTTTGCTCTTCTGCATCTCTCTGCCAGCTGTTTTAGATGATGGCCATGTTTAACAGAGTATGGTTAAGAAATCTAGTCATGTTCATGAGTCTGCTCATTCCTCCCTTCCCCCCATCGTCTCACTGTTTTTCTCTTTTTCTCTTCATAGGTATAACACGTGGGAACCAGAGGAAAACATCTTGGACCCGTGCCTGCTGGTCGCCTTCCAAAATAGGTGAAGTGGAGGAGAAGGAGGATGAGGGAAGCTTTCACCACTTTCACTCTCTGTCTCTTTAATTCAGTTCAGTTCAATTCAGTTTCCTTTAGTGACTTTAACCATATTTAGCTGCGATATTGAGAAAGCATGACTGAAATAAGATGAAATAAGAACAAAACATTTAGAACAATTGAAGTGTCTCACTCCAAACTGCATTGCAGACCATTTTTAAGAATGTTGTTGGGAGTGGACTTCACACACAAGAAATTTCAATGATCTATTATGAATAATACCACCTTTATTAGAGAAGTAAAATGTTTTCCACTGTACATCTTTCTTTTCAAAAACACTCATTGAAATGAACCTGTTCTGTGCAAAAAATCTTAGGCATTCTTTGCAAATGTTTTATCTGGCAGTGTGTTTTCCCAGTAAAACACTGTTATTAAAATAAATACAAATTAACATAAATACAGTAAAATGTAAAGTTTAGCAAAATTCTGAATATGTAGGTTAGAAGAACACTGCTCAATTTCTCTGTGCGTCACAGCGCCCCACTGAGTATTTTGTCATTACTACATTAAGTTAAAGCCATATGGAGACCACAGAAAGCCACAAACCACATGTAGCTAAGAGTCTGCACAGAGAAAGGGAGCCAGTCTAATGGCCTGTTACCCCAGCTAATTTGACAGTCTAGTTTCTTTGTTTTTTACGCCTTGTATCTTTCAGCTCGGAAACAGTGAGCTGTTAGTGAGTTAGTAAAGTGATGCCAAACAAGATAAGTGATGTTAAAAGTTTTATTTCATTAAATTTATACGAGTATATTATGTATGTAAACGTATATATTATACATTTATCAGCTCTCTGACTGCATACATTCTGTAGGAGCTCTCTAATCCATGACATGATGTGGTGCGTCTGGCATGTAGTGGCCTAATATTTTTCCCATATGAAAGGCAGAATGTTGAGAAGATTCATGTCTAACTGCCACAAATCATGTCACAAAGGACATCTCTCACACTGACCCTCACAGACATTACATACAGACTCACATACACTGTGAGTGGCTCGTCAGATCAACCTAAAAAAAATACTTCAATTGAACCAGTTTTATTCAACTCAAAAACTAAAATTAAAACTAGTTCATTTGCTTTTTACCGCATAAAGTGTTTTTTAGGTTGATTAGACGAGGTATTTCTACAGTGTAAGAAATCAGCAGGTGCATTAGGCTCTATTTTGTCTCACTAACTGTATGAGTAGCTACCTTTCCCTTTAGCTGGGGTTTAGTACAGACATGCTTTTAAAACATGTTTAAAGTGTGCTTTTTCAGTAATCATTGAGGACAGAAATACAAAAGAGACAAGCAGAGGGAGAGAGAGGTATTTTCAGCTGAAAAACATAAATAAATAGTTAAATGACTGCTTAAATAAACAGACAGGGTAACTGGAGTCAAAGCAGTTAATGAAACAGTAAAAGTTTATGGAAGAACAAAGGGATAAGGAAGGAAAAAATAAAAAGAAAAGGTGCATAACAGATGTAGATTGGTAAAAAGGAGGAAAAAAACCTAAAGGAGAAACAGTTGGTGTAATAACTGTTTATTCAGCAGTTATTTTATTCACTATGAGCTGTAGGTCACATTTCTGCAGAATGGACCCCACTAAAATTTTGATCCTAGTTACGACCCTGGTTCTTACTATATGATGATTAGCAGCTCATGAGCTGATATGAGTTGATTTCAAGACCCTTTTCAGTATAACATTTATTATATGTGTGCTTTTTTGTATGTGTGTGCTTTGTTATATAAAAATAAATAAGTAAAATAAACGCTTTTGTAAGCTCATTTAGCTTGCTAGCATCAGTCATGTAGAAGAGAACCCACTGTAACTATACTACATCTATTTCTCTCCTTTAAGTCATTTGTATGAACTATTTGTGCACAAATGTTGAGACCTTTCTTAAGAACATATTTAGTTTGATATTTAAGTGTGTTTTATGAAAGACTCCCCTTGCAGTCAACCAGAAAAAGACTAAAAGATATCCAGACCTCAAGGAAACAGCTTGCTTTACATTAGGAACACAGAAGCTAGACTCCTGTAGAGAGGACAGTTATTTAGGATTAAACATTAACTGGAAACTTCAAATGAGCAGTCAATAAACTGAGAGAGCATGTAGAAAATTCTATGCAATTAAATGACAAATTCACATTCAAATACTAATTCAAATTTGGTTCAAATCAATCCAGTACTGTAAAAAATAGTCAGGTCAACAAAAACAACAACAAAAAAATTAACTCATGTGGTAACAAGTAAATTATCTAGTTTTATTTACCCTAAATAAATACTTTGAATGAAAGATTCTTTCAATCAAAGTATTTTTTTAGTTGAATTAAACTAGTTCAATTGCTTGTTACCACATAAAGTCATTTTTTTTAAGTGGAACTGGGCCATTTGTACAGTGTAGTAGTAATAGCTGTAGTATTAGAGAGAGAATTCTTGGGCCTGATATTATAACCAATAAGTAACGTCTTAATGCAGCTGATACTGATATATTAAATCAATAATTTAATTGAATTTATTTTATTTTTATTGAATTATTTTAATGTTTAACTTTATGTAGATATTTCATGTTATTGAGCAGATACTGTTATCGAGAGCCATTCACAACAGTATATATATAATATAACAATTCATAAAAACAATGAACAGAGATAACTAACAGAGTACAACAACAAACAGTAGTTGAAATGAAACAAGGCTATAAAAAGAAGAAAATTTTGTTACACCCATGTAGATGAAGGCTGCACACTAACAGAACTTCTCCCAGCCACAACTTTGCATGTTATCCTGTATCTTTAGAAGTTGAAGATTTGAAAAAAATCCTTAGCTTTAACTGCTGAATGACATTCAATTCAAAGTGACGCTGAGTGGGTCCTCAGTCATTTGCCATGGCATGTAAGACAATCCTAATCTTGGAGATAACAGGCAATAGGTTTAGTTTATTCAAATCAGACATGAAATATCACCTATTCTGAAGTCTTTCACTTCAAAAGTTAATAGAAATATAGCTGAGGTACGGCCATTTTGATAAGACCACTTGGCCTTTTTGTGTTTTGCTAGCGCCAAGCTAACGGCAGTGCACATTCACAGCGAGCTGTACTGATTACTGAGTGCTGAGTGATTAGACCATTACAGGAACTGCCCTGTGGGAGAATATGCGCCGTAAGTGTAACTGTTCACACAGAGCAGGTAGTACAACTCTGCTTACTGCTTTATTGATGATGACTGACCGTCTCACTTTCTTTAACTCGAAATACACGCTTAACACCATGGGCCAGTTGCCAGTGACGCAGGAAGCTGTTTTAAGTTTGGGGTGCTGAAATTCTGAGCAGCATGCATGTTACCTGAGCACTGATGTAATGCAAAACGATTCTCCTTTTTTTGACAAATTACATCAAGCAGAGTGAGTCAGGAGGTGAGATAATGTGGCGAGAGATGGCAACATACCCACATAACCGACACATCAGACCGTTGATGCACACCCTGACTTCTCTGCTCTCTCTCCTTCTGGACAAACTTTATGCAAATCAATTTTATGGTGTCCAATCAGATTGTTGATGTGTGGCGCGGTAATGGATTGTGTCTCACCCAAAGTCACACTTGAACACACTCCAGGTGTATAGCAGTTGTTAAAAAAGAAAATATTCAAAGTGCGGGGCATCATTACAATTTTTTTTGTTTGTTTGTCTAAAAAACGGTATTAGGCTGCTTTGGGGGGCTCAAAAATGTCCCACAGCTCTGCACACACTTTGCACCTCAACCTGCGTGTGTTTTAACAACGCGTCCCCAGAGTGGCCAGCAGGTTTTTAATATGACATGGTGGCACTGGCCACCCCTTGGCTATGCCCCTGCTTTGCTCTTCTGCATCTCTCTGCCAGCTGTTTTAGATGATGGCCATGTTTAACAGAGTATGGTTAAGAAATCTAGTCATGTTCATGAGTCTGCTCATTCCTCCCTTCCCCCCATCGTCTCACTGTTTTTCTCTTTTTCTCTTCATAGGTATAACACGTGGGAACCAGAGGAAAACATCTTGGACCCGTGCCTGCTGGTCGCCTTCCAAAACAGGTGAAGTGGAGGAGAAGGAGGATGAGGGAAGCTTTCACCACTTTCACTCTCTGTCTCTTTAATTCAGTTCAGTTCAATTCAGTTTCCTTTAGTGACTTTAACCATATTTAGCTGCGATATTGAGAAAGCATGACTGAAATAAGATGAAATAAGAACAAAACATTTAGAACAATTGAAGTGTCTCACTCCAAACTGCATTGCAGACCATTTTTAAGAATGTTGTTGGGAGTGGACTTCACACACAAGAAATTTCAATGATCTATTATGAATAATACCACCTTTATTAGAGAAGTAAAATGTTTTCCACTGTACATCTTTCTTTTCAAAAACACTCATTGAAATGAACCTGTTCTGTGCAAAAAATCTTAGGCATTCTTTGCAAATGTTTTATCTGGCAGTGTGTTTTCCCAGTAAAAACACTGTTATTAAAATAAATACAAATTAACATAAATACAGTAAAATGTAAAGTTTAGCAAAATTCTGAATATGTAGGTTAGAAGAACACTGCTCAATTTCTCTGTGCGTCACAGCGCCCCACTGAGTATTTTGTCATTACTACATTAAGTTAAAGCCATATGGAGACCACAGAAAGCCACAAACCACATGTAGCTAAGAGTCTGCACAGAGAAAGGGAGCCAGTCTAATGGCCTGTTACCCCAGCTAATTTGACAGTCTAGTTTCTTTGTTTTTTACGCCTTGTATCTTTCAGCTCGGAAACAGTGAGCTGTTAGTGAGTTAGTAAAGTGATGCCAAACAAGATAAGTGATGTTAAAAGTTTTATTTCATTAAATTTATACGAGTATATTATGTATGTAAACGTATATATTATACATTTATCAGCTCTCTGACTGCATACATTCTGTAGGAGCTCTCTAATCCATGACATGATGTGGTGCGTCT